TTATTCTTAGGAAGGCTTATGACTTGTTCTACCGGTTTTGGGATGTTGTGTACCTACTTTGGATTGTTGGCTTTGTATAAAAATTTTCGGTTCATGTTTAATAGTTTATTGGTTAAAATCTGTTAGTAATTCAGTAAGTGTTAGGCTTACCTAATTCTAGAGACTAAGTGCCATCACAACTCCTAAAGAGAGATTTTGGATCGTGACTGTAATATGCATTTCTTCTTTAGAGGTTTTTCAGTTCAGAAATATGTATTCTGCTTACCAACCCGCTCTTGGTTTGCTCACTCTCTATCATGAGCATCACAAAAATGCACCCACGGATGCACAACGGCCAATCCACGTATAGAAGAGTGGGCGCTGTAGCGCCCATTAGATGCTTATGAGTCCTTATAGTTATATTGATTATTTAATAATATATAATATAAGTTGTTCATTAAGCACCCATCACATTGGATAGACTTCTAGTGCATTGGCTTAAGAGGATTGAAGATGGGTGCTAAAACAACTCCAAATAGAATAGTAAGTAATAATCTTTTCATTTGGAACTTTTGGTTTATTTGTTTATATCTATTTATTAACTGAAATTTAATTATTCACAAAATATATTTTTAGCTAAAGTATTACAAAAAAATATTGATGAATTTGCCTTTAAAACTAAAGTGACAACCCTTTCTTTAGAAATTTGGTTCTTCTCTCATTTCACATGTTGCGGTTCACAGACTCACACAGAGAATGGTGATAGGATTTGAATTTAATGGGCTCAACTTTTAAGATTTTTAGTATTGAACTTGTTATACTCTTAAAATTATGAATTCTGATCTAATATTTGTTGAGATTTTAATAAATATTTAATATATATTGATATTATGTATCAAAAGTTATGGATTCAGCTGAACCCGTAGCTGGTAGGCAACATCCGCTCCTAATTGTTCGAGCACCCATTGACTTGAAATTCTGGATCAGCCACTGCGGATGCAAATATGCATATTAATTATATTTTACCTTTCATGAACTAAAGTAAAATCGTACATTCATTTGCATTTATTATAAATGTGTATATATGTCTGTATACGGGTAAAATCGGGGATAAAGTTACCCCTAATTTTTCAATAAAGAAATGGAAAAATAATGTGGTCTGACATAGGCTCAAGTAAAGTCGAGGGTTCCCCATATCAGAGCCCGGGGGGAACGAATGACGCACCAAGATTCTAACATGACCGAACATGAGAGGAATCGAGCTCGGGCAAAATAAAGAATCGAGGCTAAAGGAAAGGCGGTTAGAGAGGATGAATGAGGGGCCGAAATATCCGCCATTAATCGGGTATTACGACAGGAATCTCGGTTGATATCAACTGCGGATCATAATTTACTAAAAGAGAAGAATTTTTATCTTATTTAGATCTGTACTAGGATTGAAATTTTCCTATTATATATATAAAGGGGATAACCTTTTCATTTTTCAACCACTATTGTCATGCATATCAAAGCAATAAAGTCTATTTTTGTCTTCTAGCCCTTGTTCAAAGTGTTCTTCGGCTACTCATTTCTTTAATTGCAACCAAGCCCGTCTCGAGGACTCTATCAGAACCAGTTTCAACATTCAACTTAAAACCATGCTTAATTATTCCATCATGTTATTTGATCATTTTGTTTCTTTTTAATTTGATTATTTGTTGTTCTTAGATCATCCGTGTTATATTAAATTACGTATTCTTTAAATCGCGTACAAATTCAATTCGTTACTCGTTTTAAGGGTAAACAACTTCTTCACGTACGTTTTTGTGTTTGTAAACTTGAGGCTCTACATCTAGAGACTATAAGCTGGCAATGGTTGTTGTACTAAAATGATTATTTCTTCACTATTTATAGTATAGAGCATTGACCTAAAATGGTACACGCCATTCCTATATAGTATATTCTAGGTGCATGTGTCCAAAATTTTATCCTTCTACTTTATCCTCTCAGTATATATACGAACTTCTAGCATGTGGTTATGATTCTCCCTAGGGTTTTTTTGTTCCATTAAAAATTGACCAAATCCCTTCTGTGTGATTTTCACAACCTGGATTGGGATAAGCTATACATGGTAAAATATTCATAAAACCTCATAGAGACGTCTCTTATTTATCACCGTCAGCTTGTTCAACAGAAACAAGATTAAAGACGAGTTTAATATAAGATACAATAAAAATAATATATTAGCATATAAATTGTAAAATTTTACTTCTATAACAACTTTAAATTTTTTAAAACAAAACGAAAAAGAAAAAAGATGATCGTGATTCGGGGATGATTTACGGTCCTAATTAGTGTTTCATTTAGGTTTCAGTCAGAGACGGCTCCATAATTTAAATTTAATGGGTTCAACTTTTAAAAATTTTACCATTAAACTTATTGTATTGTGGGTTGAAATCTAATACTTATTGAGATTTTAGTAGGGTTATATATATAAATTTACTCTCCTTGTCGAAAATTATGGATGCAGTTGAACTCGTAGTCGAAAGGCTTCATCCGTCGCTGGTTTCAGTTGCTACCAACAGACAGGAGCAGATCTAGTGTATCACCAACGAATTCAACTCATGAACTCATAACTTTTGACATAAAATAAAAATTTATATATAAAAATTCATTAAAATTGCAATCTTCGTAAAAAGCAATCCTTCTTAATAGACTCTACGTGGCTCGAATGTGAATGGTCGGGCAACTGAGTTTCGAAAAGGTTTCAGTTGCTAAAACACAGTTCAGTAACAGGTGGGAACATGGGTTCGTGATCATTGTCATTATAAGGCCATGCAATTAATATATATGGCCCTTTAGAAAATAGCCTTGTCGCGACCTGCATTTTGGTTTTCTTACACTTTTTAGATTGATTTTATCCAACAAAAAGCTAATGTTGATAAATAAAGGAATGATACTCTTAATTCAATCAGTATTAATTAATCAAATACTAGCATTTGGATTAAGTAACTATATAATAAAGCAAGATCCTGACCTTGACTACAGAAACGTCCCCTAATACAAAAGCCAAAATCTGTAGACCGCTTACTCCAAAAACTGGTGTTAAAAATATTAGACTGTTCAGTATTGCTATATTCTTGACCTCGATAAGACATATAACATCTGCCAAAATTTAATTGATTAACTATAACAAAGATTCAATTAGCATAATGCTTGTCTTTAATTACATGCTTGTACGTACTATTGACGTTTCCTAGCTATAGGTAATTTTTTATACCACCTTATAAGTACTTCGCCAGCTTTTTTTGTCAAAAAGGGAAAAAGGGAATTGGAATAGATGTAATCAAAACCCTGACAAAGAACAAGGTTATTTAAAAAAAGTTTATAAAATAAGCTACTAATTAAAAGGGATTATTTTGACTAAAGATAGGGATCTTTGAGAGAAAGGAAACAGTTTGGGGAAAGAGCAGAATAGTCCTACCAACTTAGTTGAAAGTTTAGAGAGAGGTCCCAAAAGTTTTTCTTTCTGTGGGTGTGTTTTAAGTTTTAACGTGTATGTGTACGTAAGTTTTTAATTAGTAGTACTACTAATTAATTATTTTGTACGGTTTATGTGGCAATTAATTCCATGGACATTTATGCATATAAAGAACCTGACAATGTCTATGAGGCTAACTCCAACTATTTCTGTGCAGACACAAATGTGGGTCAAATTTCTCAGGCCCTTCCAAATGTAAAATTTATAACTCTCTGTGATACGAATTCGGTGAAAATGACATAAAATCAACTAGCCAGCTACATTAGAGAGCATAAGCATTCAGCAACCAAAAAAGGAGTAATTAATTAGAGCATACGCTAAAAATGGAAACTGAAACTTCTTTAAAGGAAATTCTACAGTTTCAAAATATTGTACGTTAGGTTTAATTTATGATCGATATGACATAGTCAACCTGAAAGAGCCAACTCAAATAAAAATCTTGAAAATATAATACAAGAGTAAAATTCAGATGGCTTTTGTGGATTTTCTTTGGAAATAGAGGCACCCACATGCAGGGACGGAACTAGATGGCGGAAATGGATTTTTTTTTGCCGAAAATTATATTATGTATATAAGGTTAATTTTTTTTTTATGCATATATATTGGATCTCGAATCCCTTTGCGTGTTTGCTTTTTGTTTTTTGAATTTACTTAGTGAAAATCCTGCTTCTTCACGTGATGAAATAGAGTAATGAGCGAAATCCAGAGGGGGTTTGTGCATTTTATATGAAAGAGAAATATAATAGAAGCAAATGCAACTATATGAGCAAACCTCTAGATAAGGAATCTGATAATCTATGTATAATGCATTCAACAAGCAAAACCTATGGAACCATAGTTTTAGGATAGGGTGGACTACTATGCATGGTTCGATTTAAGATTGTTTTTAATTCCAAATCAAATAAATGTCAGTTTGTTAAAAATATAGGCAAAATCAAACCAGATATAAGACCAATAATTCCATTTTCAATAACATTTATTTTTCTATGTATCAGTCGAATAATTTTTTTCCTTTTTGCCAACCATAGTCTCTCAAATAATATTTCTATCATAGACTTGCTTAACCAGCACTGTTTTAATTAGTGGTGATAAATATGATATATACCGTAAAAAATTTATCCGCATCCGGATTTACACATGTTTTTGCATATAGATTTATCTTACTTAATTATGACTAATTAATATATACTCTCACTTCACTCTGTCACTTTACTATGAAAAGTTGATATGATTTGTGAAAACATCGGGTGCAAGTAAATGTTTACTTTAATTTGGTCTTCATTAACTAATTAACTAATTAAAAAGAAAGTAATATTCTCCAAACTATAATTCTAGAAATGATAGTTCCCTTTTCAAGAATTTGCCCTTACTTCAGACAGATTCCAATTTAGTCTTAAGACTCTATGTGACAATTGATGCCCCATAAGACATAGTATACTATATACTATATAATCTTTTAATTAACAGGGAGGGAAAAGCCATGCTTCTTCTCCTATATATATCCTCCACTTTATTGCAACTCATTTTATCAAGGTTACCTCCTTACATTACTACCCTCCAAAATTCCTCAGTTTTTTTCAAGAAAAGCACAAAAATCCAACATGGAGTATTACAGTGACAATGGCTTTTTAGAAGAACTATTATCCCTAAGAAGTGACTCATGGGATACTACTACAACACCAGTTCCTATGGAAATGACAGATTTTTACAACAATGTCTACAACTTTGAATCTTTAAACTCTGTTGAAGTTCCACTTCCTTGTGCTTCTACTACTATAACTACTACTACTACTACCTCTAATTCCTTTGAAGACTACTCATATGATTTGCCGTTTGACCAAACTCTAATAAATTCTTCATTTTATAGCCCATTTGGTGATGAATTGTCTCCTCTTGAGCTCACTGATAATACATCCTCATTCCCTAATTCCCATGAAGATTTTTCCTCAATCTTGGAAGATGAAGTTGGGAACTGTAGTTTTCAGAATTTGGAAATGGGGAATAATGTTCCTTGTAAATTGGAGCAAATTCAAGTATCTGAAGCAGCAGCAGCTCCCTGTTTTAACATTGGTTTGTGTCCAGAGAAAAAAACAAAATCAAAGAAATTAGATGGGCAGCCTTCTAAGAATTTGATGGCTGAGAGAAGGAGAAGGAAAAGACTCAATGACAGACTCTCTATGCTTAGATCAGTAGTTCCCAAGATTAGTAAGGTAATTCATAGCCTTCTTAATTTCCATTACTTTTTCCCCTTTTTATTACCTGTTTAAATTTTATGTACCGACGGTCTGGCGTGTTGGTTGCGGGTTCGGTTGAACACCGTAGTTTTTGTTCAAACCCTAAAATTTGTATTAAGAAATCCAATAAATATGTATAAATTAATAATTTAGAAACCAGTAACTTAAAAGAATTATAATCCCGAACCCATAAGGTTCAAATTCTAACTAGCTTCGCCTCTGCTGGACGGTGAAAAAAAGTATTTAGACGATCAAGTAGTTTAAAGTAGTTGTAACCTGATAAAAATGATAGCTGATTTGTTATAACAGAATAAACTGCATTGATTGCACCGATTATGTAAAAAAATTTTACCTTATGAGTACATATAGCTTAAATATTTTTCTTATTGTTAATCCTGTAACATGCAGTTTATGAGTTGGAAATTGTTTAGATTTCTGCTGAAGTGTTTTTCTTCTTGTATTGTGAATTTCTGAAGTCAATTTATTGTTCCACTCTTACAGATGGACAGAACCTCAATTCTTGGAGATACTATTGACTACATGAAGGAACTACTAGAGAGAATCAATAATTTGCAAGAAGAAATGGAACTTGGACCAAATCAGCTAAGCTTGTTGAGCATTTTCAAAGATGTAAAACCCAATGAAATGCTGGTCAGAAATTCACCTAAGGTAAGTTACAACAACATTAATATTAATGCCTAAAACCGCTCTACTTAGTTCTTTCTATGTTTTATTAATTTTGAGTTGTGGTACTTAATCCAATATCATTTTTTGTTGCAGTTTGATGTGGAAAGAAGAGGTGTTGATACAAAAGTAGAGATTTGTTGTGCAGGGAAGCCTGGTCTTTTATTATCAACAGTGACCACATTAGAGGCCTTAGGCCTAGATATTCAACAGTGTGTAATCAGCTCCTTTAGTGATTTTACAATGCAAGCTTCTTGTTCTGAGGTATATAAAATTCAATGCACCAATTTAACTTTTATTTTTCTTTTTATAATATAAATTGTCTGAAGTTACAAGCTAAAGGTAAGGTGTATATATACTACCCTTTTCAGACTTCGCTTGTGGGAATATACTGGGTATATTATTGTTATTTCATGTTACCTATGGGATGTTTATTTAATTTCATTCAAGTTTGACTTTTTTAAACATAAATTGTTTGTATATGGTGATAGGAAATGGAGCAGAGAGGAGTTGTGAATTCAGAAGACATAAAGCAAGCATTATTCAGAAATGCTGGATATGGAGGAAGGTGTCTTTAGGCCATGTGGACTAAATCTAGAGGAAAGAAGGAAAAGAAAAGTTTGGATGTTATTTTTGTTACTTGGTAGATTCTTTGTATCTGTGCATTTTGTCAAGTTAGGAGCTTTTTTTTCCTCAAGTGAGAGGTTGTAGTGGATTTTTGTGATTTTTGTCATCCAAAATAAGTGGCTTCTATTAATTCAAACTAATTGGGTTTTCCTTTTATCACGGCCCCACATAGATATATGTGCTCTCTTCTCTTTTTGTTTTTCTTTTACTTTCCCCGTATGTTAAACTTGAACTTAAAGCGTTCGGACCGAGGTATCAATCATTAATACTTTAATTAAGGTAGATTGTTTACATTACACCCCCTTGAAGTGCGATCCTTTCTCTACCCTTTCATAAACACGAGATGTTTTATACATCGGACTGCGCATTTTATGTTAACCTTAAACCTAAGGGATTTATACCCCTACCTTAACTAGTTGCATGTTTCTTTCTTTAGCTAACTAACATGCGCAAAAATGAGCAAATTATGGCTATACTTCATACTCTAGTTTTTATAACTAGAAGAGAAAATTGGTAATTTCTAATGATGTTATAAGTTTATTCATTTTCTACTAGTACAATTGGGGGCGGATACACATAGTAAGTGTTGGAGGTACATCTTTTGTCGGAAAAATTCATTAGTTATATATAAAATTGTTAGATTATTTATCGTATTTATGTAAATAATGAACATCTTTGTTGAAAATCTTGCATAAGTCACGGTAGAACTGTATTATATCTTGACGAGTAGGTCATTTGTATTTTATTCATTGTGACTTTCTTTGTTAGTTTGTGAAGGGAAAAAAAACAAATTATATGAGACAATCCAGCTAAAGAAAAAAATCAAAGAAGAAAACAACAGTAGACGTGGACAAAACGAGTTCAAGAGGAACTTTATGCCTAAAATAAGTTCTATCCACACTTCTTTGTTGATAAGATAAACTGAAGTAGCAAAGAAGCGACATTCGGACAGTTGATGTCGAGGCCAATAACCAACATTTGAACTTGGTATTTCATCTTTAGATCTTATTTTTACTTCTGTTAAATAGTAAACATAAGTGTAATTTTATCATAATATTAAATTGGTGACAATGGTTTGGTATAAGGAATCCTAAGAAAAAGCCATGTACAAATTCTAAGCATTAAATAGTGATAGTAACAATTTGGACGTTAATGGGCAATGATGGTGTGTATTGCAGGGTCCTGCCCTATTTTGGGACGCGATTCTATTTTATTTGGGGTGCAAACCAGATGTGATGCCCCATTTAGCTATCTATCACATTGTCAAATGAGGTACAAAGCTTAAAACAAAATTCTTCATTAATATAGTCGGTGCGAGCTCTAACATACGATGCTCTAGGTTAAATGCGCAACAACAACAAAACTCAGTGTAATTCTACAACTGGAGTTTGGGAGGATGGTATGTATGCAACTTTACACTTACCTTGTAAAGGTAGAGAGGTTGCTTTCGATAAATCCTCAGCTTAGAAAAAACAAAGTCAGTGCATTATTGAAAAAAAATACAATAATAGATAAACCACAAAAAGGAAACAACAACACGAAACAGTACCAATAACAAGCTAAGAAGATAACGAAAAATGTGAGGCAATAAAACAACTAGCACTAATACCAATCTAGGTATATAAGAAAGTACTAGAGCACTATAGATACTAAAGGTAAGTAAATGATAAATTCGCAATTATCTACTAGTCTTCTACTTTAGTTTTGATTTCCAAACTTTTTTATTAATGGTCTTGTCCCGGTAAGCTGCAGATATGGCATATTCTACCTTATCAGTTCTCCCCAATACATTTTTGGCATACTTTTACCTCTTATCAGAAACCCGCCATGACCAACCTCTCCTCAGACCCACCGTGGACAACCTCTGGATTAAATGCACACACTTTACAAAAGGCTTCACATTATTAAAAATATCTTTTCACTAAATTTTGTATCGGCTTTAGTGATGTAAGATTTTATTTGCACATTTGGACAGGAAGGGAACATGCGAAAGCGTGTTTGCTATAGTATAATTAATGATCAAAGTACAATTTTTCGCAATATAAATGATGATGATAAAATAATTAAAGACAAATGGTTACATGTAAAGCACGCAGTTTTGATAGGAAAAACCAAAAACCAGAAACGACAGCTTTCAAGTGTGTTATAAGGTACGTCCAATATCATATTCTTCATTTTTCTTAAGTATAATCTACGTGTACTTAAGCATCATTATTATTCTAATAAAGAATGAAAGAGCAGTGTTCCATCACATTCATCGAATATATATCTAACTTTGGATTTTGTTCTTGTTCTAATTCAATCAGTTCTAATTCAAGGGCAAATTGACGTAATTGATATTATTCATCCGATTTTTATTATTTGAAGTTGAAGAAATAAGTATATGTCAGTTAAGGACATTTGCTGCTATACCTAAATTCTGTTCGATATTGTAATGAAAGAGTCATCACATATTGTCTGAAAATGGGAATTTCAAAAACAGGTTGCGACCAAAAAATATAACTTTCGGCTAAACTATTAAATTTATGTAATAATGGGTCAAATCTAGTTAAAGACAATAACTCTAGATACAAATCTTGAAAACGTGTGAGAGATGAGACAGATCCCGTAAAGGGTTGATAACAATAAGTATAAACTATTCTTAAAGTATGAGCAATAATTGAGGTGTAACTAGCAATAAATAACAATAAATGGCATTTAAGTAAATATAAGGAATGATTCACCCAATAATAGATGGATTAGACGAATGTTTCTCCTGACAATGATGAATGACAGATAGATATAAGATTTGCTTGATCAATCCTCGGATCTGGCGGAAATGCGTGGAATAATATGAGTAAGAATCTTGATAAAAATGTAATCTTTGTCTTTCTACAAGAGAGAGAATCTTTTTTCTAAAAAGAGTTCTTATCAAATGAATATTACATATCCCTATTCCTTTTCTTTTTAATTCCTTTATATATTTGACACTTATCCCTAGCAAAACCTAATATTACAAGTGTACGGAATAATCACTAGAATATTCTCTTTAATATCCTATTTCGAAAACTAGCCGTTGCTATCCTGTCAACCATGCTCGACCTTGGCCATCACTGCCTTCTTTACCACGAACCTCGTTATCCCTTGGCTTACCTCGACTGATTCTTTCCTTAATGATGCATTACCCTAAATATTTTAGGGCAAAACTAGCCGTTGCTGTCCTGTCAACCATGCTCGACCTCGGCCATCACTGCCTTCTTTACCACGAACCTCGTTATCCCTTGACCTACCTCGACTGATTCTTTTCTTAATGATGCATTACCCTAAATATTTTAGGGCAGATTTTGACCTATACAGTATCATATATAAATCAATAATTGTATGCTACGTATTGTCTCTCTAACCAAAACCGGTAATAACAAATAAAGCATCATAAAACACAAGTTAAATCTTCAGCCTATTCAATTTAGGTCTGAGTTTGGACTAGAGTACTCGATTATTAACAGGTTTGGCATGTTTATTCAAGTAGTCTAATTCTAAACTAAACTGAAACATATTACGTGTGTGCATAATACCCTAAAATCGGATAACAATTAAATTTATACGCGGTTTTAAGAATACGTGATATAACTTGATACGGGTTGAGAAAATAGATCAATTCTGAAATTAATAATAAGAAAATAAATGCAAACCGCAGAAATTGAACAGTTTTAACCTTGAAGGTTGGTCACCCTCAAGTTTGAAAATGCCTCAATCGACGACAAAACAAGTTAACAAGATAACAAGAATTAGAAATGATCAATATATTGCTTCTTTGATACGTGTTACAATGTCTTTTACAAACGATCAGACCTCCCTTTATATAGTAGGGGAGCCCTACTCTTGATACAATTCTCTAAAATGTAAAAATCTCATGATTTGCTAATCAATCGGCCTCTCTTTGATACGTGCCGATATTTTCATCGTGATCTCCCTAAGTTTGCAAGGTCATCGGCCTCGATATTTTGATCTCGAGATACGTGCTGCAAAGTCCACTCTTTGAACCGATGTAATGTTACCTGCAGCTTATCTAGGTACCTTTGCATTCGTTTTTGTCTAACTTCGAATGTTCCATTGACTTGGTTCACCACTAGGAAAGAGTCACATTTAGTTTCGATCACCTCCGCCCCCAAGCTTTTGGCCAGTTCGAGACCTGCAATCATGGCCTCATATTCGGCCTCGTTGTTAGTCAATTTCACAGTTCTAATAGATTGTCTAACAATATTGCCTATAGGTGGTTTTAGTACGATGCCAAGTCCGAACCCCTTTGTGTTCGATGCACCATCCGTAAAGAGGGTCCAGATTCCCGAAGACGTCCTCAAGATTAACAACAAATCCCTTTCGACCTCGGGTATCAGGGCCGGTGTGAATCCGACCACGAAATCTGCGAAAATTTGAGACTTAATAACTGTCCGGGGTCGATATCCAATATCGTACCTGCTGATTTCTATGGACCATTTGGCCAATCGTCCCGAGAGTTCGGGTTTATGCATTATATTTCGTAATGAGTAAGTTGTCACAACACATATAGGATGGCACTGAAAATATGGTTTCAGTTTCCTAGAGACGCTTAGCAGAGCGAGCGCCAATTTTTCTAAGTAAAGATATCTAGTTTCAACCTCATCTAAGGTCCTGCTAACATAATAAATTAGAAATTGCATATCTTGTTCCTCCCGAACCATGACTCCACTTACCGTTATTTCGATACTGCCAAATACAAGTACAGTTGTTCGTCTGCCCTCGGTGTGTGAAGCAGTGGTGGGCTCGATAGGTATCGCTTAAGTTCTTCCAAGGCCCGTTGACATTCCGGGGTCCATGTGAAGTTGTTTTTCTTCTTCAGTAACGAGAAAAATCGGTGGCTCTTATCGGAGGACCTAGAGATGAATCGTCCCAGGGGGGCAATACGCTCGGTTAGCCTTTGCACGGAATTCACGTTGTCCACTACCGTGAAATCTTCGATAGCTTTGTTCTTGTCGGGGTTGATCTCGATTTCTCGGTTGGGTACCATGAAGCCGAGAAATTTACTTGATTAGACTCCGAACGCACATTTTTCCGGATTCAGCTTCATGTTGTATTTCTTCAATATGCTGAAGGTCTCCTGCAAACACTTTAAATGGTCCTCTACTTGCAGGGACTTA